AGAAAGCAAACCCCTCTCTCGCAACTTTTAGTTGACTGTTACATTGCAGAAAATATAGTTGTAGTTGTGACATGTACCCACCCTGCCTCTGTCATCAGCCCTTCTCACCAGTCATTTAGTTACATTCACCTGACATGCACTCTGTCATATACAAGGTGGGGGCAAAATTCAGAGTATATTAAATAAATTATTTCTAAGTAGTTTATTTTTTTGTTGCAGGTACATATTTTAACTGAGTCTTAGGAGATGCATCACAGGCAATTTCACAAAGTAACAATGAGTAAAAATTGTGGAACACCCTACAATTTGTTCAGCAACTGGTATTATTAGATTAGTCAAATTAATTAAGTAATCAGATTTATACTTTATAAGAATTAATTGCATAATAATGAGATGAATATACAAATCATAAATCAGACTAAGACAGATTACCAAATGTATTTACTTAATAATCACGGGCCTAATATATTTTTAATTAGGAAATATCTCCACTCTAATTGTTGGTTTTACAAAAACATTACATTTCTACGATTAAATTGGAAAATTATACAGCAAACATGCATCTTTTCTTCCTTTCATTTTTCATTGATATGTTTAATTTCAAAACTATCTAATCTGTTATGGACAATGATTCATTTGGTATGCTAAGTTTGTAGACATGAATATATATTTGTATATTTATTGGATTTTTCCCTCTATAATTGGCTCCAGAAAATTACGCCGTAACATCTGTGATTTCTTTTTTCCTTTCAATCAATTCATTCTGAAAAAGACTTACACTTGTTATATGCTAATAAAAGACACTGTAAAGAAGTAAGACTTAGAGTAATACAACTTAAGATTTACAGTAAGTATCTATATGGAGAGTGGTGGCAACTCATGGGTACGTCTGGTAAACAAAGATAAAAAGGACTGCACCAAACAATGTCTCTCTCTCTGATTCTAGTTAATTAATAATAGCAATACATATAAATATAAACCGTTTGAATCTTTATGGGTACCCAATATTGGCTTGGAGTTGGCGGGATTGTCCATCCATCCATAAGGAATCCACATGAAGATAATATAAACTCCAAAACAAATTATGAATAATGAAGGGGCCCACAAAAAATTAAATTTAATCTTGAGTATTATTTGCTCCTAAGTACATACAAAAAATAAATAAAATCATTTGCACCAAACACAATAAGTATCCAGGGCAGTCTCACAATCGATGATAGGTATTGTATTCTGGAAAAAAAGATTTTCTTAAAATCAAATGCTAAATAGATTTCAGGCCTAAATAGAGACCAGAACAAAAGATAAAAAGGTTAGCGCTAATAATAAAAATATAATAAAATAAAAGGCAGCGGCCTTATAGGGGGTCACCCTCTGACCCTCTACAGTAAGGATATACACAAAAGCAAAGAACAAGGCTGCGCCAAAGTAATTAAAACAAGTCCAGATAAAATAATAAAATGTTCAAATAAAAATATGTTCAAGTAAAAGAAGTCTCAATAGTAGATGGTGTCTTAACTGATTGATGTCTTCCTTTTTATGGTAGTGGTCGTCCGTCTCACGATATGAAAGACGCAATGGGAGAGAGCCAATTGTGCAGAGTGTATAGATAAGTAGTTAAAATTAAAATATAAATTACACACTCACATTTCCATGAGCTAGGACTAGCTCTAGTATGATGGGCATACGGCGGATAACCCTCAGCTTATAGGGGTGCTTGTCCTCCTGGAGAGTCTTGGTGTCCAATTCTCAGGGAAAGAAAATAAAAACAGCCAATAGTGCTCTCTGGTGAGGTAGTTGGTAGAAAGAATAAAAATAAATAAAATATACTCACAAGTGGAGTGCAGGTCAGTCTGCACTCTATTTTACGCGTGGGTGGTATAATCCCCACCTTAGGATATGCCAGGAACAATAAATGAGGTTAAAAGTAATAAATTTAAAATTATTTATTTGTACAATATATTTAAAACCAATAACGCGTTTCGCGTAGAGGCTTTATCAAATTGGAATAGTATAGGTACCTGGCAGATAAGGAGTATATATAGCTAATACAAACATTTAAAATTGGCGCCAAAAAAAATGATCAACCAATGAAAGTGGTCCAAAATGTAAATAAAGAGTTTGCATACAAAAGATAAAAATTGATATAAAATATAAGTATATATGAACATAAGATGGTATGTATATAAGAATAAATCAAAAACGAGCGTTAATTTATATTAAAAAAGGGGTTGAATGAAATATGCGTTTTTGTGCGTGTCACGTGACCCGCAATGCACCATGGGACATGTAGTGCCGGGCCACGTGACCGCCGATATGTATATATATACACAGTCTGTGCGGCCAAAAGCAGAGAGAACGGCACGCACGGACTGGGAAGCAGAAGGGCGGGTTAGGGCTCAGTCACATGGCCCGCGGCGTCATACATCAGTAGTACCCGCGGGTCACGTGACCATAGCCGCAAAGACTGTTGGGGGATGTAGTACTTGATTGTAAAGCAACAAAAACAAAGATTAAACAAAAATAAGATCAATGGCATATAAATAAAACATAAAATCAGCATACAGTTTACACATTTGAATAAACATACATTGATTTGCATAATTAGTGAGGAATAAATAAGAAATAAAATGCATATTGCCAAAAGGTAAATAAAAATCACATGAGAGGGGCATAAATTAATAAATCAATGTAAATGATATCAAAAGTAGCAATAAATAAAAACGAAAAAAAAAAAAGTTATCAAAAATTAAATAAGTCAAAATCCACATTAAGACCTTGGGGTGTAAGGGTTTGTAGGTTATATACCCATTCCATCTCTGATCTACCAAGGATGTTTTTTATGTTACCACCTCTCCAGGGTATTTGGCATTTCTGAATTCCTAGACATTTAAGGAATTTAGGATCTCGGTTGTGGTTAATAAAGTGCTTAGATACAGAGTGGCTTAAATACCCATTTCTTATGTTCCTACAATGTTCTGCCAGTCTTGTCTTAAGACACCTGGTGGTCATACCCACATATTGGAGGCCGCAAGGGCACTCCAATAGGTAGATAACATTGGTAGTATTACAACCGATGAAGTCTCTTATGGTATAACTTTTATTTGTTTGGTTGGATTTAAAGTTAGTAATTTTTGATTTAGTTGTTAGATCAGTGTTTTTACATACAGTGCAACGTTTACATTTATAAAAACCTTTTGCCCCATCTAAAAATGTATGTTGAATATTTTTAGTCACTTTAGTGTAATTATTGGTTAAAATTGATCTAAAATTGGGTGCCCCTCTAAAAACAATTTTAGGCTGTACAGGTAAAATTTCTTTAAGCAAATCATCTTGTCTTAAGAGATGCCAATGTTTTTTAATTGTTTTTTTAATAAAACCACTTTTATTATTATAGTTAAAAATAATGGGGAGAGTGGGGGTATCTAAGGTATTTCTATTCTTGTACGTTAAAAGACTTTCTCTAGGTTTGTTTCTGACTGTGTCTATAGTGTTATCAAGAAGAGTACAAGAATAATTCTTTTCAATAAATTGTTTCTTTAAAACCAATGATTGTTCATTAAAATCATTTATTTGAGAACAATTACGGTGTATTCTTAAAAATTGGCTTTTTGGAGCGCTTTCAAGCCATGGTTTATAGTGGCAACTTGTCTGATCAATTGATGTGTTGGTACATACTTTTTTTAAAAATGTTTTCGTATGTACTTTGCCATCTTGAATAAAAATATTTAAGTCTAAAAAATTAATTGAGTTAGCACTATATTCGCAAGTCAGAATACCTCTACTATTAGAGTTGAGGTGTGATATAAAAGAGTTCAGACAGTCTTCTGAGCCCTTCCATATAAAAAACAAATCGTCAATGTACCTAAAATAGGAGACTAAGTTATGCTCCCAGGCATGCCGTCCCCAAATAGCGGATGTTTCCCAATCCGCCATAAAGAGGTTGGCATAGCTGGGAGCAAACCTAGTCCCCATAGCTGTCCCTCTTTTCTGAAGATAAAAAGAATCATAAAACCAAAAGTAGTTATTGTTTAAAATAATATTAATACCATCTACAATAAAATCAATCTGAGCAGCTGGAATTTTGTTTTCATCTGATAAAATAGTTCTGACTGCATTATATCCAAGTTGGTGTGGGATAATAGTATACAGGGACGTAACATCACAGGAAACAAGTATAAAATCTGACTTCCATTCAAATCCATCTAGAAATCTCAGTAATGACATAGAGTCCTTTAAATAGGACCTCATTCGTTTAACTGACGGTTGGAGTAAGATGTCTATATACTGAGATAAGTTGCATAAAGGAGAGTTTATCCCAGATACTATCGGTCTCCCTGGGGGGTGTTTAGCATCTTTATGTATTTTGGGTAAAAAATAAATAACCGGAATTTTAGGGTTCTTAATAAATAGGTAGTCGAATTCCTTTTTGTTTAAAATATTATCAGTTAAACCTTTTTGTAAAAAAGTAACAAGTTTCTGCTGTATATTGGAGGTGGGATCTTTGTTTAGTTTCTCATATACATTTATATCGTTTAATTGATTGTAAGCTTCTTTAATGTACATGTCAGTAGACTGTATGACAAGACCTCCACCTTTATCAGCCGGTTTGATCACTATTTCTTTATCCTCTTGGAGTTGTTTAATAGCTGTTTTTTCTAATGTATTTAAGTTTTGGAGATCGTATTTGTTAAATTTGATTTTATTTAGATCTTTAAGACAGATTTTTCAAACATTACCAGAGGGGCTGATTTAAAATGGTATGGATAAAATGTGGATTTTGGTCTGAGATTTGTATTGATAAAAGAAGACTGGTCAGTAGATGTAAGGGAACAGGAAGCGGAAGGGTTAATTTCTGAGTTTTGTGCTATAAAAAAATCTTTTTAGTGTAGCTTTGCGTACAAACTTATTTACATCTAAAAAGGCTTCAAATGGCTTAAAAGAATTCGTTGGTGCGTACTTTAGTCCTTTACTTAAAACAGAAATCTGTGCTGCACTTAAAACTTTATTGGATAAGTTAAAAATGCCAACATCTGATTCTTTAAGGGTATTTTTTATCTTTCTAGTCTCTCTTTTTTGTTCTCTTCTGCCACTCCGTTTTCCTCTGGGCTTAGAGTTCTTTTTTTTGCTCTTGTGGGATAGGGTGTGTTGATGAAAGTGCTGGGGTGTGTCTGAATCTCTAAAAAATGATCATCATTTTCTATTTCGGAGTCAATGGACAATAATTGGTATCTGTTAGTATGTGTAATAGGGGTATCAGAGTGGTTTTTATAAAAAGTATTAGATCGCTGAGTTTTGGGAGAATGTGATCGAGTGTCTGGACTGTGGGAATTGTAATAGCGGTTAGAAGAGTCCTGGTAATTAGATGTTTTGTATGGAATCTTGCGTGATGTATATGATGATGGGCGGTGATAAGGCAAAGGGGCATAGTGAGAGTTCTGATTACTGTAGTGAGGTTTAGATCTGTATGGAGAGTGATGAAAGGGTTTGTGAGAAATAGAAGAGTGATTTTTGTTAGTATATGAAAATTCGTGCCGTGCATTGTGTGTGGTGGCTCTTTGGTATTGATGAGACTCTGTTCTTGTATTGGTATGTGAGTTATCAACCATATATCTTTTGTTTAGATGATATGTTCTGACCTGTCGGTTAGCATAATCTTGCTTATCTCTAATATACTTTTTAACTTTAATGTGTTTAGTGTCTGTTTCTATTTTTTCAATTTTGCTTTGAATTAGAACTGAATTTTGTTGATACACATTACTCTCTGTAAAAGGCATGAGTTTTTCTCTAAGGTCATTGATTTCTCTATCCAAATTAGATAGGTTTTTGCTTTTTTTCTTAATTAGCGTATCCATAAGGCCAAATGTACAGGTTTCTAATTTGTTATTCCATTCGTTCATAAATTCAATATCATCTTGGTCTGAAGTGGGTAATTTCATAAGTCTCAGGCCTCGGGGTGTTATACGTTCATCTATATATTTTTTTGAACGTGGCAATTTCCCATTTTAGTTTAATTTCTGTTGTTAGGGCCTTTTCTAATTTGATGAACAATTCTTGCTGAGTAAATATAGGAGGCCTTACATATATAGGACTAATAGTTTGATGTGAAAAGACATTATCAATATCAATAGAATGGTTACTTCTGTACTCAAAAATAGACATATTAAAAGCAGCTAAAACCAGAGGGATATGGATAAGATACAGAACAAAAGATAAAAAGGTTAGCGCTAATAATAAAAATATAATAGAATAAAAGGCAGCGGCCTTATAGGGGGTCACCCTCTGACCCTCTACAGTAAGGATATACACAAAAGCAAAGAACAAGGCTGCGCCAAAGTAATTAAAACAAGTCCAGATAAAATAATAAAATGTTCAAATAAAAATATGTTCAAGTAAAAGAAGTCCCAATAGTAGATGGTGTCTTAACTGATATGATGTCTTCCTTTTTATGGTAGTGGTCGTCCGTCTCACGATATGAAAGACACAATGGGAGAGAGCCAATTGTGCAGAGTGTATAGATAAGTAGTTAAAATTAAAATATAAATTATACACTCACATTTCCATGAGCTAGGACTAGCTCTAGTATGATGGGCATACGGCAGATAACCCTCCGCTTATAGGGGTGCTTGTCCTCCTGGAGAGTCTTGGTGTCCAATTCTCAGGGAAAGAAAATAAAAACAGCCAATAGTGCTCTCTGGTGAGGTAGTTGGTAGAAAGAATAAAAATAAATAAAATATACTCACAAGTGGAGTGCAGGTCAGTCTGCACTCTATTTTACGCGTGGGTGGTATAATCCCCACCTTAGGATATGCCACTCTGTATCTAAGCACTTTATTAACCACAACCGAGATCCTAAATTCCTTAAATGTCTAGGAATTCAGAAATGCCAAATACCCTGGAGAGGTGGTAACATAAAAAACATCCTTGGTAGATCAGAGATGGAATGGGTATATAACCTACAAACCCTTACACCCCAAGGTCTTAATGTGGATTTTGACTTATTTAATTTTTGATAACTTTTTTTTTTTTTTTTTCATTTTTATTTATTGCTACTTTTGATATCATTTACATTGATTTATTAATTTATGCCCCTCTCATGTGATTTTTATTTACCTTTTGGCAATATGCATTTTATTTCTTATTTATTCCTCACTAATTATGCAAATCAATGTATGTTTATTCAAATGTGTAAACTGTATGCTGATTTTATGTTTTATTTATATGCCATTGATCTTATTTTTGATTAATCTTTGTTTTTGTTGCTTTACTATCAAGTACTACATCCCCCAACAGTCTTTGCGGCTATGGTCACGTGACCCGCGGGTACTACTGATGTATGACGCCGCGGGCCATGTGACTGAGCCCTAACCCGCCCTTCTGCTTCCCAGTCCGTGCGTGCCGTTCTCTCTGCTTTTGGCCGCACGGTCACGTGGCCCGGCACTACATGTCCCATGGTGCATTGCGGGTCACGTGACACGCACGAAAACGCATATTTCATTCAACCCCTTTTTTTATATAAATTAACGCTCGTTTTTGATTTATTCTTATATACATACCATCTTATGTTCATATATACTTATATTTTATATAAATTTTTATCTTTTGTATGCAAACTCTTTATTTACATTTTGGACCACTTTCATTGGTTGATCATTTTTTTTGGCGCCAATTTTAAATGTTTGTATTAGCTATATATACTCCTTATCTGCCAGGTACCTATACTATTCCAATTTGATAAAGCCTCTACGCGAAACGCGTTATTGGTTTTAAATATATTGTACAAATAAATAATTTTAAATTTATTACTTTTAACCTCATTTATTGTTCCTGGCATATCCTAAGGTGGGGATTATACCACCCACGCGTAAAATAGAGTGCAGACTGACCTGCACTCCACTTGTGAGTATATTTTATTTATTTTTATTCTTTCTACCAACTACCTCACCAGAGAGCACTATTGGCTGTTTTTATTTTCTTTCCCTGAGAATTGGACACCAAGACTCTCCAGGAGGACAAGCACCCCTATAAGCTGAGGGTTATCCGCCGTATGCCCATCATACTAGAGCTAGTCCTAGCTCATGGAAATGTGAGTGTGTAATTTATATTTTAATTTTAACTACTTATCTATACACTCTGCACAATTGGCTCTCTCCCATTGCGTCTTTCATATCGTGAGACGGACGACCACTACCATAAAAAGGAAGACATCAATCAGTTAAGACACCATCTACTATTGGGACTTCTTTTACTTGAACATATTTTTATTTGAACATTTTATTATTTTATCTGGACTTGTTTTAATTACTTTGGCGCAGCCTTGTTCTTTGCTTTTGTGTATTTTCTAAATAGAGACCACTCCTAACATTACATTTCTAAAAAAAAAAAAGGTGAGGGGAGTAGATATACATGAAAAGATGTTACATGATAATAGAAATGACTACAAATTCGGATGAAAAAGGCCCACTATAAATACATTTAGAAAACACAAGGGTGTAACACAGCCCCCGAAATACATATCATACGTTTTTGTTTTCATCATAATTTCTAGTATTATATTTTAGAAAATATAAATTTCCTTTTTTTTTGAGATTTTGTTTGTATGAGTGCATTATTTTTAGATATAGTATAGTTAGTATTTCAAGTAGTGAATATAGGGTTTACACTTTGAAGAGGGTTTTATAGCCTCAGTCACTTGTTATGATAGGAGTGACCTTTATTTAGACATGGCATCTAGGAGATGGTTTAGGTGTATTATTATTATTATTATCGTCATAGCCCCAACATAATCCGTAGCACTGTACATCATTATGAGAGGGAGGATTTAACTATAATTAGGACAATTACAAGAACGATAAGTTGAAGAGGACCCTGCTCAAACAAGCTTATAGTCTATAGGGTGTATGGTGTTCTTTGGTGCAATTAAATTTTTTTAAAGTAGGTGATAAAACTGGAGATTTAATTTTACATCATGCAAATAGAATCACTATTTAGTTTGTTTATGACTGCATGCACTCTAACAATTTCAATAAGATGAAGTTGTTAAAGTGCCTACATTGTTCCTTTAACCTAAATTTGCAGCACCATTTTGTTTTTAATATTTTTTTGAAATATTTTTTATTATTTTTATAGGTTTGTTGGTTGAGCCATATTTGTGCCTTGTTATTTTTAAGTGGTTTATTACTTTCTTTAAAAGAGTTAAAGAGTATATATCCATTATATTAAGTTTAGTAGGTGTTAACTTTACAATTTTTAAGAAATTAATGTTAAATCTAATAAAAAAAAAAAAAAAGACACCTTGAGATAAAATGGATGATATATCCTCTAGAATTGAATATTCCTTGATAAATGAAGACACCTACATGGTAAACAAAAGTCAAGCAAAATAAAAGTAAAAAAGGAACTGTCACTTCAGTGGAGTTTAATAAAGTATTCAATATCATCTATGATGTGCTAAACCTTTTTTTCAAGAGATGACGATTCTAAAAATTGTAAATGACATCATATAGTTCCGACAAGGTACAACCAGTGCAAACAAAAATGAAAACACTGTTACAATCCATTTTAACTCTTCTTTGCATGTTGATTTCAAGGTGTAAAAGAAATGGCTTATAACAATAACTGACAGGGAGCTAAGATGGAGGCGCCCATTTGGAGGATAAAGAGTTGTGGACTTTTACATTTCATTTTATTTTTCACATCTCACATATGCATGTTTGTTAAATATAGGGATAAGTAAACATAATATAAAATATTCTGAGAAGTAACAGTATCCCTTTAATTCACAATATCACTCAGGTTCGTGCACCCATTGTCTGCCACGAATATTCATGTTCACCACCCATATTTCTCTCTCTTTCGGCCTTCATATGATGATGACAATGAATATTTCTCACCATAAACTGTTATTCTGACTACAATGGCTATAATATAAACATATAGCTTATGTATGCAGTGATGGTTTTAAATAACACAATCGGACAATTTTAGCGGCTCTATTTAAGCCAAGTTACTGTAATAATGGTACTTAGCATCTGTTTTCTGACTGTTTGTGTAAATAGTGTGCTTTTCTCTTATTTTCTCATACAATTTGATTAGTGCTCCTTTTCTTTACCCAGCGATTTCTGGAATCAATTTATTGTGTAGGGGTTGTCTTCCTTTGATATAAAAGTCTATTGTGTTACATATAACTTTAAACAGACACAGAGCTGCTTCACGGAAGATGCAATTACAATACTAATGTATTCATTTCTACATGCTATTTACCCTTTGGTTAAAAACCTGTGTTTTGTTGAATTTTATAAACAAAAACAACATGCAACTTGCTTTTGTCTTTTTTATTCTTGGGATAGTGATTATAAAATATTGTGGATGGTTTTTCCCTTACAAGGGATTTTTTTTTTATATTCCCTTTTCTATTGGCAATGTGGTACATTTTA